CAAGTGGCAGCATTGATGGACTCAAGAGTAGCAACAGTGGTGAGGTTGGCCCAGGATCAGGCAGTGTTTCGTTCTGCTGTGCATAAGGTCACTATGAGTCTGTACCGACTCGATAGCCCCTAACAACAACAGCAACAGCATAAAGAAACAACCAAATACAGAATGTGCTAATTCTACAGGACAAGTACCTTTGATTTTTCAAAAAGTTAATGCAAAAACAACAAAAACAAAAAAATGGGGTGACTATTCTATATCAAATGAGATTAATTAAACACAACCAAATGCAATGTGTGATCCTTGTTACGATCTTGCTTTGGTAATGAAAAGATATAGAAGATATTCTGAAGACAAATGTGGAAAATCAACCTACAACTGTGCATTACATGTTATCATGAAATTGTTGATTTTCTTAGATGGGATAAGGTGCTGTGGTTCTATAGGAGAGTGTCTCATTCTTTGGAGATACATGTTATGTGTCAGTGAGCCAATTCTCAACTCATAGAGACCCCATGTGACCCAACAGAACAGCCCCTAGGAAACCCTATACAGGGTTACTATGAGTCAGAACCAGCTCAATGCCACTGAACAACAACTGACCTTATAGAGGACTGATTTCAAAGCAATTAAAAGTTTGGCTACTATCCAGTACTATCCACAAGATTGGTGCTTTGAGCCCACCAGTCGTATCAGAAAAGGATGTGACAGTCTGCTTCTAAAAAGATTGCAGCCTTGGAAACCCTGTGGGGTGGTTCTGCTGACAGATCACTCTGACATGGAATTGACTCAAGGGCCATGGGGTTTGGGATACTTTCTATACTGTGCAATGCTAGGTACTACTGTGGCTACAGAGGTGGGTATGACACCAACTGTCAGCCCCCTCTGAATCACACTAGTATGGATTGAATTGTGTCTCCCCCAAATATTAAAAGTACCAGAGACTGCCAGAAGAACAAACAAATCTGTGTTGCAAGAAGTCCAACCAGACTGTTCCTTAGAAGCAAGAGTGGTGAGACTTTGTTTCTCATACTTCAGACAAGTTCTCAGGAGGGATCAGTCCCTGGAGAAGGAATCATGCTCTGTAAAAGTGGAGGGTCAGCATAAAAGAGGAAGACTCCCAACAAGGTGGACTAACAGAGTGGCAGCAACAATGGTTCAAACCTAACAAATAATGATGCAGGATCAGACAGTGTTTCGTTCCATTGTGTTCCTACTATGAGTAGGAATCAACTCAGTATCACCTAAGACATCAACAAAATATGTATTGTTAATCCTAACATCTATGCCTGTGGTTATAATCCCATTTTGAAATAAATTGTCTTTGTTATGTTAATGCAAGTGGATTAGTTTCCAGTGTATGTTGAACCAGTTTCATGTGGGATAAGAGATTAAATCAACAAGCAAACAGAGATGGGGAAAGAGACATCACGTTGATTACTCAGTGTATAAAAAATTATTAAAATCCCCAGGCCCAAGAGCTGAGGATGCTAGATTCTAACATGCAACATTCCAAAGAAGTCAGCCTTGCACAACAGGACTCGCCTGGGATTGGTGTCGCCTCCTCGGGGCTAAAGATACAATTTACAGCAGGCACTGTTAGATAAAATTTATAGCTGTAATTGAATGTGTTTTCTTTGTTCCTTTCATAGATCAAAATAATCCCCTTCTTGGAAATGAAATGTGAAGACATGACTTGGAGCTCTTACAAAACATATCAACTCTGTATTTATCCAGGTGTTTTTGAAATGGACATTTAGGGAGTGTTGAGTGATTAAACTCATTTCTGTCTTCTCACTTAGGGTGAGTGAATTGGCTATGCACTGGACTGGACATATGAAGATGGACAAGGAGCAGAGGCAAGGACTTTCCTCTAAAGTTCTGATGTGGCACTTTAAGATAAATATAGGGCTGCTGACCACAAGATTGGCAGTTCAACCCCACCAGCCACTCTTTGGAAACTGTACACAGGGTCACTTTGAGTCAGAACCAAGTCAATAGCACTTAACAACAGAGAAAGCCTTTCCCTAGAACCAGAACCCTGAATTTAGACTTCTAGCCTGTGAGAATAAATTTGTTTGCTGAAGTTGTCTACTTATTTCTGCTGCAGCCGCACTAGATAACCAAGACACTTAACCACATTAAAAGTTCTTAATTAAATGCACTGCATATCCTATCTAGAAAAAGTCAGCAATTGAGTTCAGAGAATGTATTCCTAACCGTCCCACGAGTGGATTCAGGAGGACTTAATGAAAGAAGTGATGTTTAAATTGAGATTTGAAAGTTGAATTTCTTATTGTTAGGTCCTATCAAGTTGATTTTGATTCACAGTGAGCCTTATGTGATAGTAGGGTTTTCTGGGCTTTATTCCTTAGGGAACTAGATTGCTAGATCTTTCTCCAGCACAGTCACTAAGTGGATTCCAAATGACAACACTTCAGTTAGTAGCCTAGGGCTTAACTATTGCCACATCAGGGCTCCCAGCCTGATACAGCACTGGTTAGGAACAGGGTGTATCTGTTATAATATTGCTTGGTAGTCACTGACCTTGAACAGCCACTTAACCTCGCTGTGCCTCAGTTATATCACCTGTAAAATGGGGATAGTGCTGTAAGGCTTAAATAACAGATGGCACTAAGGTTCACGGCTGGCATATAGCACTATATTTATTAAGGACTTGTGATTGCTACTATTATTTACTGAGATCCACAGTATCCAACGCTTGGTGCAGCGGCTCAGCAAGAAACAAGACATATTTAGCACCTGCCCTGGGAGTACACACCTGCCAGGCTTTATTTTTCTCATACTAACATAAGCTTCTCTTCCAGCTATAAAATATGATAATGTTAGTTATCCCAATGGCTCAGGGTCATAGAGACTTTATGTATAACAGAACTAAAGGTTGCTGTGCACTGCACTATCCTCTCAGTTGGTGGGTTCAGTGATGCCTGTTCTGTCAATTTACCTCACTAGGGGGTTTTCTCTGTTTTACTAACCCTCTACCAAACATCACACACTATTCTACCAATTGGTTCCTACTGATAACACAGTCAAAGTAATCCAAATGATGTCTTGCCATCTTTGCATCTAAGGAACATTCTGGCTGTACCTTTCCAGCACTTCTGCTGGCTGACCATGGTATATTTCAATAATCTTAATCAACACCACAATTTGGTTAATTTCCTACAAAGAATTAGCCTTCTTGCTCCTCATATTTTTACCAACCCCACCTGATATGTGACATTTTCCAAAGGGCTCCTTGTGAATTTTTTAAATTTAAAAACTTGCTGTACAAATATGCATAGCACGGCATTTGCCAATTCAAAACTTTTCATGTGCACAATTTAGTGACACCAATTGCATTACTTATCTTGTGCAACCAATGTAGCCAGATTTTACATCACCATAAACAGAAACACAATGGGTTCTAACTCCCTCTTTCCCTCCTGCCTCTGACAACCTGTCCCTGTGAACTCTGGAAGCTAGGATTCCAAGGAATGTAAGTTTCTGTCGCCGAATTCTCGCAACAGCAGCGGGTGGCTGCTCAGCTCAAACTCCCAAACTGCGAACAGCCTAGTGCTGAGCGGAAACCAAGCTGAGCCTAACAGAAGCCCGCCCTCGACTCGCTAGCACGTCCCATTCTGATTGGCTGATACTGCTAGCGCTCCAGCAACCTGTATCCAATCTGCGGAGTGTTTACTGAGTGGCTGCAGCAACTGACACACACAAGGGGTTTTCAGGTCCTGCGGAGAGAGGGGGGCGATCCGGCCATGAATTTGGGGTAAGATGGGGAGAGAAAGTTGGTCGGAAAGGGAAAGGAGCATGAGGGTGGGCTGCACTTTGGAAAACTTTCAGAGCTGTACGGCCTGGATCGGCAGTACCCTGGAGTTGAAAGGGTCATGAGGGCCAGCTTGGCCTTCACTGTGCCTATAGCCTTCGCTTTTCCCCTTCTGAATCCGGTGGAAACTGTCCGCCACTTGCTTCCCATCAGGATGGAGAGGGAAGAAAGGTAGGGCAGAGAGGTGGGATGGGGATCTACGACCAAGAAAGTTGGAAAGATAGGGCTTAACGGAATCCCGGGGAGAAAGTTTGGCCCAAGCCCCTGGTTCTGAGTGACCCTGTTGTTGGGAGTTTTTCTGACTGAGTGCTTGGATGAGTTTAGAGATGCTAGGACCCAAAGCTCCTCAAGCAATCGGTATTTTAGGAGTGCCAGCACCTAACAGGCCGCCAATATGACCCATGGTCACCCTCTGTAAGTAATAATTGAATAAATTAAAAGGGGGTATTTATTGTATGGCTTTCATCACTCAGAAGTTCACTACACGGAGAACAATTAAGATACCAAACCATGATTTCATTGCTTCTCAGTGAACGGTATGAATGGATTTTATGTTCTGAAATCAGGATGGAGAACTAACACACACAGTCTGCTCCGTAAGAAGTTTACAGTGCAGTGTGAAAGAGAGATTTCTTGGCGAGCGCATTCATGTTTTCTTTCTGGTAAAGTTCACTAACAAACATGAAGTGTTCATCCTCCTGCAACAGAGAAATCCTTGAACTACCAGTGATGTTTTAATGGTACTGCGGGTTAATGTGCTGCTCTGCAAGGTCCGTTTCAACCACAAAGTCGGCGGTTCAAGCTTACCATCTGCTCCTCAAAAACCCTATATATAGGATCGTTGTGGGTCAGAACCGACTCGACGGCACTTAACAACAACTTGATTTTATTACCCTACTTGAGCAACATCACTCATTCCTATTCCTAATCAGGCTTTTCCCAGGCACTTTCTCATCTTTGACCAGCAAGATTTAGTCTCTTGGACTTCAGTTTTGTCCCCTTAAATGTGCATTAAAATTAACAGTTTTCCTGAGTCGAAGGCACTTAGCAACAACAATATTAAAAGACTGCCATTTTTGTTTTTGGTAGGATTTTACGGGATTTTTCGGTAGGACTTTAATGGATGTATAAATTGTGTTGGCGATGCCTGCTGCTATTTTATGCACTTGCTTTTTAAATGCATAGAGTATAATGCAGCCAAAACTTATTAGAGACTTGTTTTGTTATTTTAAAAATTGTCACAAAGTGTGAAAGTTTATTATTGGACCTGTTCAGAATAAGGTAAACGGCTCAAACAGTGTAACTCGTTTTCCAAAAATACTCCAGCATTCTATAGAAAATAATTTTAGTCATGGTATCTTTATGAAACTAATACACGGTAGACAGATCTTACTCTTCCAACTTTGTGTTAAGAGCATTATTGGGTTTTCTTTTTCCATTTTAGCATTGTAAAGATTAAAAGATGGTATGTAACAGCTGAATTAATTTACTTCCCACCAATAAAAAATTAAAGAGTTCAGGTTAAAGATAAATTTTTGTATCACTGAAAAATTTCAGGAAGAATTTTCTGTTGCAGTTTTTACTTTTATCTTGGATTTTAAAAAGTTTTTAATTAAAGGACTTATTTGATGTTATTTACATCATGATTTGATGATGTTACAAGATTCCTTATAAATTCAAAGGCACAAATTTGCTTTCAAGGTTCAAATAAACGTTTCTGGCTATTTCAGATGAGGCTCTTTCTTAAAAGTGACACTATTCTCTTGTGTTTTACAGAGATGGCTTAAAACTTGAAACTGAATTATTGGATGGAAAAACCAAGCTAATATTGTCTCCATATGGTATGCTGTGTTGCAGGAAACTTAGAAATGTTAACATTTAAATTTTGAAATAAAAGTTTATCTAGTTTAACAGACGTTTGGCTTACAGTAGTCCCTGACTATATAGACTGAAATAAATTTAAATGATTCTATCAAAAAAGTTGTATTCCTCAAACTCACTCAAATTTACTTTCAGCCAAGTTAAGTTATATCACTGCTTCCACTGTCACTGTTCAGAGTCACAAAATATAACCATCTAGTATATTTCTTGAGCAATATATTCACTATATATATTTATAACATATTTGCAAATACAAATTATTCTTATTGCCTGGTAAATAATATAGATAAAATTTATGGAACTATTCTTTGCATGTAAATTGTACTGCTGAAAAAATTAAATTTATAGTAAGACAGTAGTTATGAAGTCAATTCTTAGTATTAAATGAACTTTGTATTCAGTATATTTTAATAGTCTTGTCATTCATGCAATTTGGTTTTTTTCCCCCAATTTGTTTATAATTTTTCCTCAGAAAGATATAAGGAAAAAATTAAAATAGAAATATCTGAACCACACTGTAAATGTTAAAACACTCATGCAAAACTGGACCTTAAAGTTCTATGGAGAATATTTCTATCTTAATATCTTTTTTAAAAGAATGCTAATTACATTTTCTTTCATGACTGTTTTTGTGTATTTTTGGTTGATAGCTTAGTAATTTTTGTTTTCTTTTGTAGAACATAAATCAAAAATTTCTGTGAAGGTAAGCCAAGTGAATTTGACCTGACCCATTTTCACAAATAAAATGCAATGTTTTTATATTGTTTTGCAAATAATTCTTGGGAATGTCAAAACATTAAAAGGATTTGAAATGATGATGAGAAGTTAATATACCCTTGCTCTCACGTTGGTCCTTTCACAGAAATGGAATGTGTTAATTTTCACTTTGTAGAAATCCTATAGAATCTTTTTTTATAGACTAGTGCTGTCCACTCGTGCTTTCTGCAGTGATAGCAATGTTTCGGAATCTCTGCTGCCCCATATGGTAGCTACTAGCCATGTGTACTTATTGAGCACTTGAAATAGGACTAATGTGATTGAGTTTATTGAATTTTTAATTAATTGACAGTACATGCATTCCCAGACCAAACTAAACCCATTGTTGGCAATTTCATTCCTGGAGCCATCCCATAGGACAGAATAAGACTGCTTCAGAGGGTTTCCATGGCTGTAAATATTCACAGAAGCAGACAGTGCTATGGTCCTCCCATTGAGCATAATAATTGGGTTCAAACCACTGACCTTCTTTTAGTATCCAAAGGTTTTAATTACTGTTGTTAAAAGCAACATACTGTATAAAAATATTTATGACATGAAAGCCCTGTTTCATCTATTAAAATATACCGAATCCAATAAAAATTTGGAAATAATTTAGACTAGGCTGCTTTTTAGTTTTGTTTTTTACTTAAGAAGCCTAAATATAATTGAATATTTAGTAGTTCACAATTTTCTACTGCTTGTGTTCACTGTTCTCTGGTGTTACGCTACGAAGGTTATTCAGAATTGTGCTAAGTGTATGTTGACTTCATGTCAATGAAATCAATATTTTAGGAGACTTTTTCAGTATATCATTCCTTTCTAATATAAATGAAATGTGATAAAATATCTGGGTTCAGTTAGATTCCTAATTAGGATTCTGAGTAGCAAGGTTTTACAGCACATATAAAATTCCATTATGGGTATAGTGCGCTTATCATTCTTGGCTTTGTTTAGAGATTGTGACAACAATAAAAGAAAGCAAAAACCTTTTTCCTAGAAATGAAGATTGTTGTTAAATCCTATAGAATCAGTTCTGCCTCATAACGACCCTCTATAGGGTTTCCAAGGAGCAGCTGGTGAGCTTGAACCACTAACCTTGCGGTTCAAACTGACCTTGCAGTCTAGCGCATTAACCCACTGTGCCACACCAGGATTCCAGAATATCTGTTAAATACTATGCAGTTAAGTAGTAGAATTAAATGAGTGCTGTAACAATGTTACAAAAGGAAGAAAACAATGGAAAGAGCAGCTTGCTCTGTTTTGTAGAGACCAGGGAAGACATCACAAATTAGGTGATGTTTTAATTAGGACTTAAAGTTGAGAGATATAGTCACATGCAAAGAAGTAGGGAAGAATATTCCAAGCTCAATAAAAATACAGTATTTGCATTGCCTGAAATTAGGGGAAGGATCCCTGGTGGTGCACTGGTTAAGCACTCAATTGCTAACCAAAATGTTAGCGGTTTAAACTGACTAGCTAGCTGCTCTGTGAGAGAAAGTTGTACCAGTCTGCTTCTGCAAAGACTACAACCTTGGAAACTGTATGGGATAGTTCTCTTTCTTGCAAGTTTGCTATGGTTCAGAATGACATCTATGGCAACAACTTTAATGTTGTGTGTGTGTGACTTAAGCAAGGAGGCATTTGACAGAGAGCAAAGGAGAATGGAAGAGAGCAATTATTTTGGATGACTGGATAATGAGGGAAGTGGGGCAAGAGTGAGGTGGTAGTATCAACAGATTATAGCATTGTTGAAAGTGAGCTGAGAGGAAATGAACTGGCAAAAGTAGATGGTGGCTATTGTGGGGTGCTTGAAATTACCGGTATTTGTAAGGCTAACTATAAAATATCACCATGGGAATAAGTAACGGAGGTACCAAACTGGGGGCCGAGGCCAAAGGACGAGAAGGTAGCATACTGGAAGGACCATCTTTATAGAATATGAAAAGCACTGGGAAGATGGGAGTTAGGTTAGAGAGAAGGATGGTGACCTACTAGCTAAGATATTCGAGAGCTAAGGGTTAGTAACCTGGTCTATAGAAGTCTGTTAACAGAGTGTGGGAAGTGTAATCTAGTACATGAGACTCAAAGCAGGAGTGAAATGGAGATGTCTAAAAGGAGCTCTGGTAGTGTAGTGGTTACAAATCAGTTCTAAACTACCAGCTGTTCTGCAGGAGAAGGATGAGGCTTTCTGCTCCTGTAAAGATTCACAGCCTCGGAAACCCTGTACAAGGTCACTATGAGTTGGAACCGACTCCACGGCACATAACCAACCAGCAAATAGCAATGAAAGGTTCTTCTGCATTCTTCATTATCCTGAAATTTAATACCTTCCAAAAGTTAAATCTTTTGAGTGATTTGCAAAGGTTAAGCTTGCGTTTCTTAGAGTGTATCATCTAGCTAAATAGCAAAAAGAAAAAAAAAAAAACAACTTAGGAGAAAGATTTATCAAAGGGTATTTAAATTGTTTCTTTTTCATTGACTGTTCTAAGAATAAGCTTCTGTTTCACAGATGGGAAATAAGACGAAGATTGCAAGATGTTCTCTAAGAACAAAACAAACTGGGCACATTCTGAAATCAACACAAAATACTTGTGTCAAGAATGACAAACTTTTGGAAAAGAAACGAATTGGTTCAGAAAATGCAATGGCAAAGAGTGAAAAAAATAAAATGACTTTTCCACCCTCTAAGGATTTGTGCAAACAGTATACAGATAATGACTGTCTTCATATCCAAAGAGGGATTTCCCCTGTAGCTCCGAATACACAGAGGACCAGCAACACTGTAAATACACCTGTGGTAGTGAAAAAGAAGCCTCGTAAAACCCCCATCACAGCTAAAAATACGAAGAGTGGGGTGGTATGTTTAACACAAGACCAACTACAGCAGATTTTGATGGCTGTAAACCAAGGAAATCGAGGAAATAAATCTGTTTCTTTGACAGAGAATGGAAAGGAGGAAACAAGTAAGAATCTTCCAAAGTTCTAATAAATACTAATTTTATCAATGTGTAATGTTTTAGAATTTCAGATTCATGAGTTTTTCACAACAGTGCCTCTTAAATTACAATTTAGCAATATTGTAAAATAAGCATTATTTTAACGGACATTCTCTAATATACCAACATAACTTTTTATAATTAAAATAACCATATGGCAAACGTTAAGACTCAAAAGCTATTATTCTCATGCCCGAAAGCCTTGAACATAGTTTCTGTGAACTCTAGAAATGATGTTACTACTAAATGCTATTGTATTTGTGATAGATTATATTTAATATAATTATGAAAAATAAAATTATCTAAAAAAGATATAGTGTTGATAGTAAAAATTAAGGAAACCTTAATGTGAAGATTTGACTTGAGTTTCAGGCGTTGTTTTTCTGGCCCCTGAATTTTGCTTTTCCTGATCCTCAAGGTATGCTTAGGGATTGCAATACTAACTTTTTAAGCAGCATAAAACAAAGACTTTGAAAGGGTAGTAAAGTATTGTATACTTGCTCTATCATAAGTCAAGGCATGGTAGTTTTGTTTTTAAAATGCTTCTAGTTTCAGCTTTGAGCCTAAGGAATTATGAATATGAAAATTTTAAAAAATCAAAATTTATTAGGCAATAATGAAATAATACTATTAATAGCCCCCAAAGAGAAGCCTTAAACACATTTCCAAGGTGGTCAAGTTGGAATCATTTACCCTGCCTTGGTCTATATTTTGCTTTGTTAATTAAATCAAGGGAGCTGGATTGCTTCTTTAAGGCTTCAGTTTTAGCTACAGGAGAAAAACAAACTCAAAAACTTTACTTGGCATAATGACAATATCAACATGGGAAAGGTAAAATTTGCTTAATCACGTAATGCTATATTTTCTCTTCATGGGAGAGCTAACACTTTCAGGATGTATTAGAACAGTGTTTGAGCTAATCATAGGAACTCTCTCTAAAACCTTCAGATATTATAGGTGGAAATATAAGCAACAGTTCAAGAGGAAGTTTTCCATGATTTCATATCCAAATGAGAAAAATAAGGACAAGGTAATAAGGTATAAATCTACTAACATTTACTTCCCTTGAGTTGTTACATATTTATGTTGTAATTCATGTTATTTGTAAAATATATGTTGGCAGGAGTTAAATGATGGTTGATATTTTTATTTGATGAAAGCAGTTGTATGGCAAAGAGCAACTCATTTAACCTCTTGATACTCATTTCCTTTTTTTTTTTAACTTCTATTGTTACTATTATGTAAAAACTGTTATTTGCCAATTTGACATTTTTTATATGTGTCACTTAGTAACACTAGTTACTTTAATCATGTTATGCAACCATTCCCAGTCTCCACTGCCAGCTTCTTCATCCCCATAACCAGAAGCCCAGGAGGAGGCCCTAAACACTGACTCTCCACATTCCCCCAGCCCTTTTGCTTCTGGTGATCACCAAAAACCTTTGGTCTCTAAATAGGTCTCTAATTACGTCTTCGAGATAGTTCATATAAGTGAGGTCATATAACACTTATCCTTTGGTAAATGACTTTGCTCAGTTCAATATTTGAAGGTTCTTCTGTGTTGTAGCATGTATCAGGACTTCATTTCTCTTTAGGGCTGAGTGGTAAGTCATTTGAACTGCAAGTTTGGTGGTTCAAGCTCACCAGCTGCTCCTTGGAAACCCTATACAGGGTCGCTATGGGTCGGAATCGACTTGACAGCACTTAACAACAACATACCACATTGTGTTTATTCATTTGTCTGTTGATGGACATATCAATTGTTCCACCTTTTGGCAAGTGTGACTAGTACTGCAAGGATTCCTGGTGTTCATGTGTCTGTGTTGATGCCTTCAAGTCTCTTGGGTATGTATACGCAGAAGGAGAATTTTGCGGTCATGTGGTAATTCTGAGTTGGATTTTTGGAGGAACCACAAAAATGTTTCCCACAGTGGCTATAACACTTTGCATTACCACCAGCAATGGATAAGGGTCCCAGTTCATCCACATCCTTCCTAATATTTGTTGGTTTCTGTTTTTCCTTTTTTACTTAGACCTCTAGTGGGGGTGACATTGTATCTCATTATAGTTTTAATTTGCATCCCCCCTCCCCAATAGCTAATGAGGAGACCTGGTGGCACAGTGGTTAAAGTGCTCTGCTGCTAACCCTAACCAGAAGTTGGTGGTTTGAACTAGCTCGATGGTAGAAAGATGTGGCAGCCTGAAACCCTAGATTACAGCCGAGGAAACCCTAGGGCGCAGTTCTACTCTGTCCGATCGGGCTGCCGTGAGTCAGAATCGACTCGATGGCATACAACAACCCCAGTGTTAACATTGAAACATGCGTTTTACCACCTCCTAGGTCAGTACAATCTACATTTCAACAACATTCCTAATCAGCCAAAGAAAGAGAACATTATGGGACTACTCCAAAAAACTGAGGCTGTTTCGTCTGTCCTGGATGACAATAAATCTATTTTAAATAAAAACCAGGAGACATCTAAGCAGCTTGAACAGAAAAATACCATGTATGTAACTCATGTCTGTTATTGTTACCTTGGGAAAGTGGCTTTCCTTTTCCTTTACTTGCATGTGAAATATTTACTCTGAAGACTGAGAGCTACTTACATGTTTATCAACTTTCATGGAATAATTTGTGTGGGAATGTATGATGTTAATTTTTCTGTTTTGTTTTTTATTGCCCTAGAGAGAATGTGTGGAAACCAGCTGACATATTCAGTACCCTGGGGGAAAGAGAACGTGATAGAAGTTTGTTGGAAGCAAAAAAAGCCCAATGGAGAAAGGAACTAGGTAGGTAACTTTTGTAGCTTGCAGCAAGTATACTTTTTTGTTAGCTGAAAAAGGTGTATAATAAGGAGCCCTTGCTGCATATAGTGGTTTGTGTCTTGGGCTGCTAACAAGATCAGCAGTTCTACTACTCATCAGGCGCTTTTCAGGAGAAAGATGAGGCTTTCTACTCCCGTAAGGATTTACACCCTCGGAAACCCTGTACAGGGTCGCTATGGGTCGGAACCGACTCGACGGCACTTAACAACAACAACAACAAGGACCCCAATGAGTCGGAATCAACTCATTGATATACTGCCACCAACACAAGCAAGGACTGTATACTGAGGTTGAAGTAGAGCTTTCAGTATGATATAATGACATCAAACAAAATCTTGTTTTATAGCATCTGACACCAGAGTTGTTCTCTACAAATGCATTAGAAACTTCCTGTCCTCACATTGCCTTCCGTTGTGTCTTTATGTTTGGTACTGTGCAGTGTGCTCCAGAAGCTACTGGTGAGCATTCATCTTCCCAGTATCACTGTAGAACTCCCATAGCTCAAACAAACCACTTTATCTCATCATTCCCTACTAATAACTCTTTTTTACCATTACATAAATCCTGTAGATTTAAAGATGGTTCTTACAAGTAATTGATTTTATTTTTGAGAATAAAAAATGAGAATCAGGAATATCTTATCAATATATTAATCGTTATGTTCTAGACAAAAACAAAATTACTATGCCTCTGGAGAGTCCTGTGGCTCTCTGTAGGATCATCACTGGACTACAATTATCTGTAGGATAGTGACTTCAGAGCAACAAGAGCAGTTGTTTTTGTTAACCTGTGGACCTTTTAAATGGAAAATGCTTAATTTCCTCTAGGGTCTAGAAATATTGAGAATAAATAAATTATCATTACTTCTTGGACTAGGCATAGGGACCAGTAAGTAGTCAGTTTGAAAAGCACATGAAGTAACTACTGTACATTTTAGTACTAAAAGCATGAAGCTGGGCTTTGCGCTCCCCTCAACTGGTAAATCCTATGATTGAACCAGTTATCATGCTGGGACAGGTAGTTTAGAAAAAGAAATAAGCAGCAGAAACAGGGAATTAATTACTAGTTGGTAGTGAAGGTACTAGAAGAATAAATAAATTAAACGTCCAGGTGCATTATTAGTAGGTTTGAATTTTAATCACAGTTTCAGCAGTAAATCTGTCTGGACTACATATTTTCTTTTAGTACAAATGCAGCTTATCAAAATTCTAAACTTACTTGAAATATTACCTATTATTTTAAAAAACAATTTAAGGAAAAAACAAACTTGATTCTGTTAAAAAAGCTCATCTCACTTGGTCTTAGTCATGTTTTAAATTTCTTAAAATGAAATTTGCACATCTATTTTATATTTCCTTTTATAAAATTGAGAATTTCAGACTTGTTACTTTATCTTTAGACACAGGATGTTATGTTTTTGCTTTTTTTCTTTTGTTGTCGATAGTTAATGGGTAATAATAGTTAACTGTGCTGTTAAATCTTTGTTCTTCCCTCGCTCCTACCTTCAACTGTTCTTGTTGTTAAGTGCTGTTGAGTCGATTCCGACCCATAGAGACCCAGTATAGGGGTTTCCAAGGAGCATCTGGTGAGCTTGAACCCACTGATTTTGCAGTCAGACACATTAGCCCACAGCGCCACACGGTACTGTAGAATAAGCACTGGACTACTAACCACAAAGCTGGCAATTCAAACCCACTACCCGCTCCATGGAAATCCTGTACAGCAGGGTTGTTATGAGTCAGAACCAACTCCATGGCACTTAACATCAACAAAATTACTCCATTTTATGAGGCAGTAATTGAGGTTTAGTGAGGGCCACAGCAATTTGCTTGTGGTAGCATAGTGGGTTATGCATTGAGCTGCTAACTGCAGGGTCAGCAGTTCGAATCAAACAGTTACTGCAAGGGAGAAAGTTGAGACTTTCTGCTCTCTAAGATATACAGCCTCGGAAACCCTACACAGGGTTGCCATGATTCAGAACCGACTCAATGGCAGCAGCAGCAGCACATGGTTGGTTGGCTGGTTATATACCATGGAGTTGGCTCCACAGCACTTAGTTGGCAGTAATTGAACTTACGGTTTTCAGACTCCAGAGTCCTTGCTGTTAATTCTCTTATTAATAACTGAATGAATGTAACTAGAGAGCAGAATAATGAGCATAATGCAAAATAAGTTATGAATGCATCTGCTCCTTCCTGAGAATTGTGACAATAGACGAAACACATTTATTTGTACCATATTGAAGCCTGGTTCTGGTTCCGGTTTCTGTTTTTTTGTTGTTTTTTTTATTCCATATTCCTTAAATCTCTTGTGAGTTAATCTCTCACCTAAATATCTATTTTGATTAATTCGATGCTAGGATCTGCACTATTTTCAGGAAGTCATGATTTTGTTTGTATATTTTTTTGTACAATTTTTTAAAAAAGGCTTTTATTTACAGATGAACAGGTTGCCTTAAAGAAGAAAGAAAAGGAAGCTTCTGAAAAATGTAATAATCATCCTTGGAAAAAATCTGAAAGTGATAAAATAATGTGGGAAAAACTTCAAATTCTTGACCAATCTCAGGTAAGGTGTAAAAATCAAGCATTTGTGGAACATAAAGAGATAATTGCAATTTTGAACATGCTAAGTGATGTTCATGTTTTAAAATTCATTTTTTTAAAAAATCTTTTTCATGTGGCATTTTCAAACAATGTTATTTTGAATTTAATTGTGGCCTCAACGTTTGCATACTGTGAATTGTTTTGCTATGCCGATGACGATAGAGGCGCCAGGCTCTTAAGAAAGGAGCTCCGTCATTTTTAAAGTGAGCACAAAACTCTACTGCTAATCTTGTGGCAGGGTCCCTGGTACACACTGTTAATACACGTGGCTGCTGACTGAAAGCTTGCAGATTGGAGTCCAACCATGGTCACCACCCAAAAAGAGGCCTGGCAACTTACGTAGGAGAAAAAGTGACTGAAAACCATATAGAGAGCAATTCTTCTCCGACACACATGGAGTCACCATGACTCAGAAGCAGCTAGATTGGCAATTTGTTTTAACTGTGTCATAACCAGTATTTGCTTATCAAGCCAGATGTCCACTGGATGCCGCTTTTGTGATCTTTAAATTTTAGACAAAGAGAAAAGAATCCTTGTTTTTCTATTTGCTTTTAGACATCTATTGGCTCGTCAAGCATTTTGTAACAGTCCTCCAGTCAAGAGATGACAGTCCAGACTATTGATGGACCCTCAGTGGTTGGAGCTAGTCAGATCTTGGAGTTAAATCCTAACTGTCAGTACTTGGAACATTTAAACCGTATAGTACTGCAGTTCTATATAATGTATTTTCTTTTAGGATACAAAGCTAAAAACATTATTTTAAACTACCAGTGAATTTTTACTGAACACGTTCTGTTCCTTTGATTACATTTTTAGCTCTTTCTTTTTATATGTATAATCCCTCCCTCCTAGTGAACACTTAATATTTTAACTAGTGTTTTCTGGAGATAGATACTGTGGTGGTTCCGTACGATAGCAGTGCACTGCAAACTACACGGTCCGTGGTTTTAGGCTGCCAAGTGCTTCATGGGAGAAAAAGGAAGCTTTCGGTTCCCAAGAAGATTAATAGTAATGCATTTTTATAGAAGCAGATTGGCAGGTCTTTTTTCCAGTCGAATGTATTGTGGGTTTTAATTGCCGACTTCCGGTTAGCAGCCAAGTGCTTAATCAGTGTACTGGTTAAGTGGTTCAGCGTGGCTGCTGAATCCCAAGTTCTGCTCTGTCCTACAGGGTAGGAATTGACTCAGTGACAGTGGGTTTGAAGTATCCTCTTTTCTATTTTAATTATCTGAGAAACCAGTAAGTTTTTTTTTTTAATTTGGAGTCAGAAGGTAGGGGCTGGGGACGGGAGAAGGAATTCAAAGGAAAAGACACTAAATTTAAGCCTGGACAAACAAAGGTTAAAGAGTATCTCCTCATCCCTTTATTATTTAAATGCAGTTTTTCCACATTCGTGTGTAACTGTGATGCGATCTTGCAGGGGTGCTATTTAGGGGCAATGAACTCACTGTAACAGAAAAGCCTATCAAATCCTGAGATGGTTTTAGAAACCCCTCAACAATGTCTACTGCAGAATATTTAGTTAGCCTCATCATGTAAATGGGAAAGGGAGAGTTTGGTTGCAGCAGAATCACAAGGTCTTTTGTGTTAAAACATGACGGAATGCATGTTAAGTGCTTTAGATTTGTGGCTGACATGTAATGTGTTTAATGAAGATTTATTTACTCTGGGTAAATCTACCAGGCAGGTCTGTCTGGAGCCCTGAGGCTGCTTAAGGTCATTCCTGTCATCAGTGTCCTTTCCTTTCTCTTCTTATGTTAATCTCACCTCTCTTCACCTTAAATACGATCCACCTGCCTTGTAGTCTCATGCCTATATTGTTTAGCCTACACACTCTTTTACACTGTGCAGGTTAAAACTCCTATTGTGTTTCTGACAATTCCCTGACAGCCTCAGCCTTTTGGGGAACACTTCACTTGATGACTTTTCTTAGTGACCACAGCTTCCAATGACAACCCCAAATTCATTGCCACAGAGTCAGACACAACTCATAGCAGACCTCAAGGTCAGAATGGATGCCGTTCCTCAGAAACCCTACACAGGGGTCGCTGTGATTCTGAACCAACTACGACTCTTAACAACAACAGATCTTTACACAGGAGTCCTGGTGATTCAGTGGATTAAGCTGTGACCCGCTAACTGAAAGGCCAGTGATTCTAACTCACCTGCCGCCCAGGGAGCAGCTCTCTATCCTATGGGGTCACTGTGATTTGGAATTGACACCATGACAGTGGGTTTGTTTTTCTGTTTTGTTGTTTAAAGTTCTTTTAGGGAACAGACTGTCACATTTTTCTCCTGCCGTGAGCTGGAATTTACCTGATAGCAGTGGGTTTGGGGTTTTGTCTCCTTAATGACTCCTCATTAGTCTGCTGCTCTTCATTCAGGAACTAACTCTAGTCTGGCTTTTGCTTCAGTCATCCTTGAAAAAGGTTATCCGTTATCTAACTCCTAGTTGCCGCATTTCATTGGTTACTTTTGAGTCCTTATCCTCTGACCTCACTCTAACATGATACTGCTTATTCCCTTTCTACTTCTTGGGATTATTTGCTTTGCTTCCTGGAATCAGCTCTTCGAGTTTCCTTTATGGCTTTCATATAAATTCCTTTGGCTGTAACTTAAATAATATTTCTTCAGGTTCTTCCCCTGCCGCCTCCACCAAAATTTAGTTCTTGTTTTTCTGCTTACTGCTTGTTATTCTTAGACAGTTGCTTATTTCCCCTCCCCTGAATTAAAAAAAAAAAGGAATGAAAAACTATACTATATTCTCACTGCTCAAAATTGGTAGTTGTTATTCTCTTTTCTGCTTCATCTTTTTGTTTTTAAAGATTAAAAATGTCAAGTTGTAGCCCATCATCCAACTCCTCTCCCATCATTCCATGAGTTTGATATGAAACGTTTTGGTATTTGTGTTTTTTTAATGAATCGCTATAAAAACATTGATTTGCATTAATGCTCAAGATATTCATGTATTTATAGTCATATTGGCTCATATGACATAGAAAAGAAATTAAAGGATAATACAAAACATATCTCTCCAAGTCATGCACAGAGAATAGTCTATTACAGCATACTCAGAATTCAGGCATTTCTGTGTATCTGAGTCATCCACTGGACACTCCTTGGAAGCCCTATACAGGGGTGCTATGAGTCAGAATTTACTTGATGGCACTTTGCAACAACAACAACATCACATAAAGAACAAGGATTTTTTTGCCTTTGAAATAACAGTTTGTACTCCAGTAGAAAGGAGCTCTGGTAGTGTAGTGGTTACGAATCGGGCTGTAAACCTCAGGGTCAGCAGTTCGAAACTACCAGCTGTTCTGTGGGAGAAAGATGAGGCTTTCTGCTCCCGTAAAGGTTTACAGCCTCGGAAACCCTGTACAGGGTCGCTATGAGTCGGAAGTGACTCCACAACACACAACAACAACTCCAGCAGAATCAGAGTGGTATACCAAGAGCTTTAATTTTCCTTTTGTTGTCAGGTTACTTGAGAATCCTGAGAGTAGGGTTGGCAGATTATTAGTCCCTTCCTAACAAGTGGGTTAGGAGTAAGTTATAGTCCAGTCCTAACCTACTGACGGCCCTATTTTTCAAGGAACAAATGCTACACCCTGGCCAAAAGGAACCAGCCCTAACCAAAGCTTCCCTTTGCCACTCTATGGTGAACCGTAGCAGTGTTAAGAGAATTATGTCTTATTCTGGAGTCCAGGTGTAACGCTATCAGATAAGCACTGCTAACCGCAAGGCCAGCAGTTCAAACCCACCAACGACTCCTCAGAAACTCTACACAGAGTCGCTGTGAGTTGGAACCGGTTTGACGACACTTGACAGCAACAATCTCATGCTTCCAAATTTAAACTCTAATCAAAGAGGTCTCTTCCTTATCCAGAACTGGGTAGTTATCATTGTCTCACCAGGAACTTGTCACAGTTAAATAGAGTATGGATATGGCATTCCTGGCCCAGGAGCTGGACCAGACACTGAATGCACTTGTGTACCCAGGTTCAGAACTAAGAATACAGTGTATTTAGACAGATGAAGCAGAGCGTGCTCAGAGAAAACCAAGCATCCCTTATGATCCAAACCAACCTTGCGGTCCAGAGCTTTATTCAACAGTGCTACACCAGGATTCCACCTCCCAACACTAGATGTAGATAAGTCTCTGTTCAAGGAGGGATGAAGAGGAAAAAAAGAGAGAACAGGAAGAGACTGAAAATATTCAGCAGTACAAAGGGAGACTATGCCTACTAAGTACTTGAGGAAAAAAAAGATTTTTTAATTAAATTAAAATGAACATGTGAAAATTTCTTGAATTTAATTAAAATTTAATTCTAATTAAAATGTACATGTGAAAATTTCTACATGTACAATTCAGTAACATTGGTTATGTTACTCACACTGTGTCGCCATCCTGTCTGTACCCATATTATTACCCCACCAGGGTATTAGAGTCACCACTCTCTAAAGGTTCCATCTGTGCTTTAGAGTTGTTATTGTCAAGTAGACCTTTTCATAAAGATCAGTCTGTAAAAGAACACAATGCTCGTGGCGAACATGCTTTACTAATTTGGCTAATTTTTACTAATTTCGCTAAGAAGTTACATAGTTTAAAGCTGAGTTGAGGAGATGATTCCGGCTCATGGTTTGAAGATTTTATCAACTCAATGGATTCGAGCATTCTTCCAGCCTCAGCAGATCTAGCATGCCTGGATTCTGTATGAATCTGAAATTACGCTTCACATTTTCCCCCTTTTATCAGGACTCATCTACTGACAATGCCATCAAAACATCCAGTAATAATAGCTGAGTAGCATCCAGGTTTTATGGTCTCATGACAAAGGCGGCAGTGAGGAGTTCATGGAGAAAGACCTGCAGGCTGTTTTCTTCTCCAATTCCTGGGACTCCACCCTCTGCTACTTCAGGCAAATAGAGACCAATTATTGGATCTTGGATGGCTACTAG